AACACTCTCCAGACATTGCCTGATGTCCCTTGGAGGAAAGGGAGTGGGTAGAATCACCCCCAGATGAGAACCACTGAGTTATATTTCTTCCTTTTGTGTGTGTGTGTGTGTGTGTGTGTGTGTGTGTGTGTGTGTGTGTGTTTTGTTGTTGTTGTTGTTAATCCTCACCAGAGGATATGTTTTCCATTGATTTTTAGAGAGAGTGAGAGGTAGGGATGGGGAGAGAGAGAGAGAGAGAAACATCTATGTGAGAGAGACACATCAATTGGTTTCCTCCCGCACGAGCCCCAATTGGGGCCCAGAATTGAACCCTAGACTCTTCGGTTCGTGGTCAGCACTCTAACCACTGAACGAACCACATTGGCCATGGCATGGTTCTTCCTCTCGCTTCAGTCTCCTTCAGCTCTCCCCTTTGTTCCCTGTCTCTCCACTCCCCCTCTCTCTGCTCCTCAAATTGCAGTAGCCCCCTTGGCACTGCTCTGAGCCCACACATCCCCCATAGGGATCCAGAAGAGAAAGGGTCTCTCAACAATGGCAGAGGCAAGAGCTTCCCACATGAGACCACCCCCAGTGCAAGGGCCAGGGAGGAGATGGTGGCTTCCAAAGTGACTGAATGCCAGTGTCCCTAGGCGAGCACCCACCTGGCAGGGTGCAGCCTAGACCTGCCTGCCAGGCATCACCCAAGTTTTCTCCAGACCCGTTGGGGACTTCTGGTTCCAGGATGCCCACCCTTTGCCTGCCAATGCCCAGGCCCTCCAGCAGATCTAAGACACAAAAGCCCACAGCACAGAAATTCCTAGAAAGGGCTTTTCCCGGCCCATCTTTAAGTATCAGGGTAGCCAGACTCAAAAGAAACTCATATGAAAGGAAACTAAATTAGCAGGTGCCACTTTCCATCAGTGGACCTACCACAGCAGGAAAGTGGGGAAGCCCCTCAGGCTGCCTGAGTCATAAATGTGGCCCATAAAAGGTATCGAGAACAGACCTCTCAGGAGCAACCAAAAACAGCCAGAAACTTCGTCTTCAAACCTCTTGGCCCCTGGTTTTTTCCCAGTGCCTGTCTTCAGGGGCAAAGACAAACCAGGCTTGGTCATACTCCTATGTTCAAATGGAAAATAACTTCTGAGTTTGCTAAATATCATATACTGACGTGTTCCTATCTCAGTTGATCTATTATAATCAGAATGTAAGTCTCTTGAGGACTTAGACTTCCATGAACCCCATCTGTCGGGCATGTGGTAGACACTCATGCCATTGCAGGAAAGTGGCAATGGTGGCAGAACTCTGCCTTCAAAGTGAAGATTGTGCCTGGTAAGTTCTCTTCAGACAAATGTCCCTGGGCAGGGATCGGGTCTGCAACAGCCAGCCTTGTGTTCCCTCCACCCCACCTGCAGCTCACCTCCTGCCACAAGTTGGGTGAGATCCAATTAAAATTAAGAGTTTCCCCTGTCCCATGAAAAGACCAAGAAGCGCATCTTTCAGATCCACACAAGCAGAGATGAAGGAAGGCACGTTACAGTATACCTTGGTTCTGGTGAGAATGTTCTGGATGTTCGGATGTACTTAAGCTCCTGTACTCCCACCTCTGAATCAGACACCCTCAGTCCGCAGTGGGAGGTTCCACCCAGTCTGTAGAAAAGGAAGGGGAACCTGTTTCCGCAGTGTTACCCACTGGACAAACACCAAGCCTGGCTGAACGCCTGTGCCCAGCAGCTGAACGTGGCCAAAGGAGAACATGCAACCATGCTGGCCAACCTCCCTCTCCATTGTGCCCTTGGCCTTCAGCAAGTCTTCCTGCTGCTGAGGGACCACACCCATTTCTCTATCCTTTTCTTCTCTCCACAACAACTATTTCATACGTTCCCTCTCCTCACACCTCCAGCACCCCTGCATCTTGTTGCTATTTCACTGAGAAAATAGAGGCAACCAGAAGAGAATGGGGCACGGCCTCTGAGATGAGAGCTGAGGTCTGCTGCAGGCGGGGTCTCCAGGGAAGTTTTACTTCCTAGCCCTAGGGTGCCCGGGCGCCCAGCAGCCCAGACCTGACACTGCCCAGAGCACAATGTCACGTGAGGAGGCCACAATGCTTACCTAAGTGCATTACCCGAGACTGGCTGGAAAGCCCCTGGGGTTAGACTATGGTGTCGGAATTTTTTCCTTTCTTATTGGACAAATGCATGGCCTGCAGGTGGACAGGGATAGATTAAAGGAGGTACATCTTCAATTTGAGGATAATTCAACCAATGTTCCTTTCTAGGTTCCAGGAATATAGCTGTGGATAAGAAAATGGAGTTTCCAAAACATCTGGGGAGATGGACCTGAAACACATTCATACTGGTATAGGATTGCAAATTGTGTCGATCCTGTGAAGGAAAGAAACAAGGAGAGGAGGGAGAGGGTGAAAGACAGGAAAGAGAGATTGAGAGAGAGGAAGAGATTGAGCTTTGAAGGTGCTTCACTGCTAGCTTTGAAAATGGAGGAAGAGACCACAAGCCAAGGAATGTAAGTGGCCTTCAGAAGCTGGAAAAAGAAGGAGCAGATTCTGCCCTGGAGTCTCCAGAAAGAACCAGCCCTGTAACACCTTGACTTTGGCCCAGTGAGACCCACGTCAAACTTGTGACCTACAGAACTGTAAGATAATAAGCGTGTATTACTTTCATCCACCAGATTTGTGGTGATTTGTTACAACAGTAATAGGACACTAGTAAGAGACTTAAATGTCTTCTGCTCCAATCCATTCCTTGAGTGACGAAATACTAAAAAAGGAAAGTTAGGTAATATTACACAGCCCCAAAGCAACACACACTAGATGCTAAATCAAATGCAAAAATAGTAAGTACCTTGACAGTTGAGGAGTTCAGCGAGAAAATTCCTAGGCTGCTGAACAGAACAATCTAGAACAAAGCCTCTCCAGGCCCACACAAACAAGAGCAGCTTACCTGAGACATCATCTAGTGTCAATTATGTTGAACAGCCCTACAAAAAAAGATGAAGGCTGGGGAACAGTTAAGTGCCTGTCTTCCAGGATTAACAAGAATCCTACTTCATGCCTCCTGGGATATTTAATCATAGAGTCTACAGGGTGCTCACCAGGAGGAGCACTGTACACATAAACAATTAGGAACAACTCGGTTTAACCACAAAATATGTTACGTTCTTATGACCTACTAGAGGCCCAGTGCACGAATTTGTGCACGGGTGGGATCTGACCGCCCTGCCCCAATTGGGGTGGATCGTGACTGGGCCTGTCGGGAGGAGGAGATGGTGGGAGATTGGGGCTGTGGATGGTGGGCCGGCCGGCCCCACCCCCAAATGGGGTGAGGGGTGCCGATCAGGGGCCAGCGGTCTGGGGGAGGAGCCATGGGTGGTTGGCCAGCTAGCCCTGACCCTGATCAGAGTGGGGGGCCGATCTGGGGTGGGGCTGGGCAGGGGGAGGGGCTGCGGGAGGTTGGCTGGTGGCCCCACCCCCTGATCAGGCCGGTTAGCCGGCCACAGTGGGCGTCATAGCAACTGGTCATTCTGGTCGTTATGGCGTTGTGGTTGCTGACTTTTCATATATATAGATAATCCAGGCCCTAGACAGGTCCTAAAACACAAAGATGAATAAGACATAGCGGTGCTCTCAAGCTCACAGTTCAGATTAAACAAAAAATGCATTGACAGGAAGATCGAGTTTCCCCTGTCCCATGAAAAGACCAAGAAGCGCATCTTTCAGATCCACACAAGCAGAATGATGCTGGCTGATGGTGTGACACTGGATGACTTGATCATGGCTAAAGCTGACCTCTCTGGTGCGGACATCAAGGCAATCTGCACAGAAGCTGGTCTGATGGCCTTGAGAGACGGAGGATGAAAGCAACAAACGAAGACTTAAAAAAAATCTAAAGAAAATGCTCTGTATAAAAAACAGGAAGGCACCCCTGAGGGGCTCTATCCCTGGCAAACTACAGTTGCCTTCAAGGAAATGGTTGGGAGTGCCCGAGCCCTTGAAGGGAGGAGATTGGGAAGTTTCCCAGAGGAGCCCCATTCCAGTTGATCTTTGTCAGCAACACGGTCTGTGCACTGTGTGCCTTTCTGAACATCATGGGTAGAATGGCTCTTGTGCAGTGCTCTTCCCTATAAAGCATGCGCTCTCTCAAACAAACAAACAAAAAAAAAGACTCCAGGTCAAAGAGAGCAGTGCTCAGGAATGAGCAGTGCCTCCTTGTGGCTGGAGTCTGTCCGGCTCCAAAGATGCTGATGAGGAGGGCCCCACGTCTCCTCCAGCTGCACTCACAGAAGCTGCATTCATGGAAGCGTGGGATGTAGCACCAGACAGGTGAGCTCATCCCTGAGAGGACATGTCCCACCTTCCCCACACCAGCTGTGTACCCTACTCAAAAGTCCCTCTGACCACCCTCAGCCTATCTCCCTTTGCAAACGGCAGATAGAAACAACTACCTCAAAGAGCTGTTGTGAAGATTAAATGGGATCTGTGAAGTAACTGGAGCCTGGTAAGCACTGAAAATGGTAGTTACTTCAACGCAAAGGTGCACGGAGAAAGAACGATGGTGAGAAACAGAGGACAGGAAGTCAGATGACTTTGATCATGGCTACAACTTGAATGATTAGTACTTTTAAGTGCAGAAGGGCTTGAGGAAAGACAGTTGGGGGGAACCCCCTCCCTTGCTTTATAGGGATAAGTGCAAACATTGTAGTAAGTCGTTATGCAAGATGCCAATGTTGGTTGCACATTCCTCGGGACATAAACCAATGACCCTGGCCTCCCCATCTAAGCAAATGGGTACTTTTAAGAGCAGCAGCCCCAGGTCACTTTACCTCCCAGTAGTTGGGTCATCATTCTATTTTTTCCGAGTCTTCCTCTAAACTCTTAGCTTCCCCATTGCAGAATCTCATTGAGTAGACCTCTGACTTCGGCTCATTTCCAGAAGTGTTTAGACTCTCTGTTCTGAAAGTCTCTTTTTTAAAAGTAAATATTTAATTACCATTTTGATTCTTACCTTTTCTGTCTGTATGAGGGGATCCCACAGAAGCTATAAGTGCTTCTGACAGCATTTGACTCCCAAATTATAGCTGCCATTGAGGGCATGGGGTCTCGATCCTCCACCTAAATGTATGCATGTTGTGAAATCCAGGGTGTAGAGGGATGTTCAGAAAATAGCTTCTTGAACAGGACTTCCTTCCTGTGGCCAATTTCATGCAGACATGTCACAATTGGAGGGGGGAAAACGAAAGGTTAGAAAAAATACTCTGGATTTGCTGAAAAAGTTATTTCTTGTAAAGCTTCTCTCTTCCACTTAGGGAGACATGAACAAGCACATTCCCCTTGGGTTCCTAGCCTTGCAAAGGTAAAGAAAACCTTGGCTCAGCAAGGGTTCTGTGTCCAAGCCTGCACCCTCTGCCCAGCCTCGGGGGTGGGAGTAATGCTGGTGGTGGATCAGATTAAACCCAGGACTCACCACTGACAAAACTCATGGCCTGTCCATCAGGTTCTATTTGAACACTTCTCATGACTGTGAAAAAAGACAATGGGTAGAGGTGCTGGGTAAAAAAGGTGAAGGGAGTAACAATAAGTATAAATTGGTAGTTACAAAATAGTCACAGGACATAAAGTACAGTAGAGGGAATACAGTCAATAACATTGTAGCCCGGCTGGTGTAGCTCAGTGGTTGAGCATCAACCGATGAACCAGGAGGTCACAGTTCCATTCTCAGTCAGGGAACATGCCTGGGTTGTGGGCTTAATCCCCAGTAGGGGGGGGGGGGATGGTGCAGGAGACAGACAATTGATGATTCACTCTCATCATTGATGTTTCTAGCTCTCTCTCTCCCTTTCCCTACCTCTCTCTCTCTAAAAACCAATAAAAACATTTTTTTAAAAACA